CAGACACACACACACACAGAGGTTGGAAAATGTCCCTGGGTGTGTCCCACTGTCCAACGGGGAAGCTGTATCTACTGATTCTGATGTTTTGGACTAATTGAGATACGAGGTGAAAAGCAAACACACTTCACTGACATACAGCACTCTTCAAATTTGTTTTTTTTATGGATGAGGCCATTAGCTCATTGTGAGTCGTGGAAAAATATTTGGGACGCTTAATTTTAGCCAAAACTCTGTCATCCCCCCCCAAAAAAGCACATTAAAATGAATCATTTCTCAAACTTCCCCCTGATGCTGTTCTACACATAAACTCATGTATTCACTCTGTGGCTGGAGTATAGGACAGATTAGATATCAGAGCCTCATAGATTACAGTGACACATGAGTAATCACTGATGCCTTATTTATTCTAGAAACTCAGCTTCTCATTTTATACAAACTGAGCAAACAAACAAGCTCACAATGCACATCAATCCCTTGCATGCACAGTACAGATGAACACGCATGCATACAGACTGCAGAGCTTTCACAGGAGGTGGCAGACGACCAAGAATGGGAGGCTTCATTTTATAGCTGCCTCTTCCTTGTCAGCTTTACTCCTGGCAGCAATAAAACACTCCATAATAAAAGGCACTATCCCAGAGAAGCAGCAGGACTGCAGCTATAGATAATCCAGTCAGCTCACACGGCTCGCACAGCGTTTGCATTTCTTGCCCCAGAATTCATTTTGTAGGTTTACTTGCAGCGTTCCCTGGTTTTAAGCATAATGGAAAGCACAGAGCTATGGCTTAGCTGCTGGATCAACGTGAACAAAGCAATATCGTGACCTTAACTGCAAGTGGGAGAGCAAGCTGGTTAATTAGCACCTACTACATTATCTAAACAAGACCTTTAGAGAGAAGACATAATTAAACCTCCAGATAAAAACTAATAAGGGAGAAAAGCTGTAGTAGCAAATTAACATGTGCATTTTTGTTCTGTGTAGACACATTATAAAAAAAAACATAAGTCTACTTCTATACAGTATACATGTAGGGAAAAGAGGAATTAAAAATAACACACTCACAGGGCACAACAGTGAACATGTCAGTGTTTCCACATGTTTTACTGAATACTATCGCTGCCTCTAAATCATTCAGAGCAATTTATGTCCGTACTTGTAAATTCGTGGCCAAGGTTACTTGGAAGCATAGCAGAAGTAGCCATGTGCCATTATGAGCAGTTCAATTCACACTATATTTATGACACAGGATGCCCCATCTGGAGCTGCTTCCTGTCTGCTGCCTCCTTGCAATTTGACCAGCCATACGTCACCAACTCACTTCCTTGTTTCTAGTTAGGTGAAGGTTCAGACCATGCAGGCATGTGCTGGAGGGACTGGTCAATTCATTGATTAGGTGATAAAGTGTCATTGATAAGTATCTTCCAAAGTTAAAGCTTCTCAATTGTGAGGATTTGCTGCTTTCTTTGTCTTTTATTTTTTGATTTTGGTTGATGCAATTTTGAAATTTGATGACGTACGCTTTAGGAAATTTTGATTAGCAGTTTTAACTATTGATATGATATTGATCTTTTATAGACCTAACTGTTAACGACTTAATGGAAAAATAATGAAAATAATCATTTGTTGCAGCTTTAATTTTTAACTTATTAATTGTCAGAAGATTGTATAAAATGCAGATTACAATTTCCAAGATATCAAGGTAATGTTTTCAGATAGTTTGCTCTGTCTAAGCAGCAGTCCCAATCTTAAAGATATTTAAAGCTAGTTAGTCTTCTCCCTCCCTGCCTTTGCTGGTGCACCTGTTAATAAAGCCATTGGTAAGAATGAGTATCAACCCTGTGAGTTCTTTCTTGTGTGAATGCACAAGATGAACAAAAGAGACCCATTATTCTTCAATTAATTTCTTGATTAATTGGTTGACAGGGCTCGAAATTAACATTTTACCTCAGTGTCTGAAACTAGCTTAGCTTAGCTTTTAGGATTCTAGGTATGCAATTCTAACTCGATACCCCTTTTTTCAAATTATGCAAATAATTCTAAAAATGTATTTTTGGAAATACTGACATACCTATGAATATTATATTCCATTTCTGCCAATAGATCCTGGACACTATATTAGCTGTGCAACAGCAACTTTAAGGACAGTTTGCTAACTCACACGTTAGTTGCATTACTTCATATGTTGTTGCTCCCTCTGTATCATGGTATTTGTCATGGTATTGGCTTTCTCCAGAATCACATACCCTGCCTTTACCAACCATTGTCCCAAATGGAAGTTTGGTTTTTTTTTCATTCCAAATAATGAATATAGTTCAACAACATTGTTTCAGTAACTTGCATCACTTCATTGACTTGGTCACAAAAATGTTTTAAAAAATCTACAAAGGGAGGGAGACGATCAAACAAAGTATTTTAATATTTACAAGCTCAAAAGAACTATTTACATATGTACAAGCTATTGAAACAACCTAATCCAGAGATCCAGAGAGAGAAGATCAAACGTGCCCCACACGCCACACCTTGCCTTCTACCTGCCTGTGCATGGCACAAGAGGAGAGGGAGAGACTTCTCTAGAGCTTCTGCCAGTGCCATATATTTTTCTGATTTGAACACAATTAAAACTATATATAAATTCCAACACATAAACGTAATAATTTAATTTGTAATGATACATTTCTCTGTCCAACACTTGCTCCAGACACTTTTTGTGTCCATTTGTGTTATTTTTATTGTCTCTGGGACAACAGGATTTCTTTACTCTCGAGTGCTGTTGGTTGGCCTCACGAATCAATTATTAAATTGTTGTAGAACAATTTTCTGACGATCAACTAATCAATTAATGGGCTAACCTTTACAGCAATGTTGGTATACTGCATATTTAACCAGTGCACAGGGTTCACAGCAGCAGAATCGGCAGGTGTCATGCTGGATCACTGCAGTGAAACATAAATGGACTGGATTATTTGTGCTATTGTGAGGGTGTAAAAATATCTGTACATTTGTCACTTTATGATAACCATCTTTTTATATCCTAATTTGTGGGATTTGGAGGCCTCGTTATCAGATTGTAAAGGAAGGTGTGGCCTAAGGGAGTAGACTCTAACAAGGCAGCAGCCCTGATTTAACACAGCATGAAACTGCTGTTAGTCATAGATCGCCATGACAGCAGCTCTCATTATCACTACCTGGATATGCATGGCATGGTTGTTAGAGCGACGCAGACACTGGGGATGGCCACACATGATCGCCACAAATCAGCTGAGAAATGGGATGTCTGATCACTCTCACTAAATCTGATAGAAGTGCAGAAAATCAGCTCCGGCTGTTCGACTTTAAGGATGTTGCAAATGGAAATGCAGCTCCCCTATTAAATGTGCAAATTGAAAGGCAGAACCATTTGTTTTCCTGTATTTCTTTTAAACATGAAAAATAAAGATGAGATAATACTCGAGTTTCAACATGACAACAGCAAAAACATGGAGCAATGATAGACAATGTCCTTAGTTTTGGCACCTTCCAGCCATTCAAATCAGACCAGCCTCTCATCCCTGTGTCCTTCTGTCAAGTGTTGCTGGGTTGCCAGTTCCTCTCTCCCCCTCTGCTCTGTGTGCTGAGGGCTCCAGGACTGCAGGTGCACAGCCTGTCTGCCCACTACAGGTGGGCCCAAGAGAGAGAGCTCACATCTCACCCTCCTCTTGGCTCATTAAAACCTTCAGCTGTTCCTCTCCCTCCTCCTCACTCCTCCCTCCTCCCTCCTTCAGCCTCGTACGGCTGCTCACACCACGCTGATCACACCAATCAAGCTTTGATTTACAGTATTTACACCATCCTCCTGTCCCCATTGTGGCTACAGGGAATCTAAGGAATGCCCCTCCCCTCCCTGCCCTCAGTGCAGCCAGCATCCTGCTAAATGTGAGCCAATCAGTGGTGGTGGGTGGAGTGCCAAGCCACAGAGCACTTCTTCCCGTTGGCAGCCTTCCCTGTGGTGGCTCTGATCACAGCGCAGTGTTAACAACACGTGACCTGGCCCCGCAGCCCACAGTAATTGAGGTTACATCCCAGGCAATACCTTGATGAATAATTAAAAGGCCAGAAACAGAACTCAGAGTGACTTAGCCAGCGCCCTGGGGTCTAATAACGTGCTTGGACTGTATTAGGTAATCTATCCACTGGTGCCAGTTAGTGTCGCACACACACTCATGCGTAAGCGCACAATTGGGCCCAGATAAAGGCAACACAACAGTATCAGTCACTGTCAGGACAGAGTGCTGGTTATGGCTCTGCAGGAACAACATGAGGAATTATTTCAGGGTGAGTAGTGGGCTCTTATCTTGCCAGCAACATGGGGCAAAACTGAAAAAGCAGTAAAATTCCTCTCTGGTGACTGTCTGATGTAGAAGGATGTGAACTGAGTAATCATGAGATATTATACAAATATATATATATATATATATATATATATAAGGATATATATATGTATGTGTGTGTGTATATATATATGTAGGAAATTTGAAATGTGTATACTCTGTATGCTGTATGTGTGTGTCAGTGTTGTGTTTCGTGTGTGAGTTTTTTCATGTGTAACAGGAACTAGTTTGTGACCTTGACCACACTGAAACCTGAGTGTGGAAACACTAGCCCCATTTATAAGTTGCCATTAAGCCTGCAAAGGTGATAAAGATGTACCTCCATACCAGTACTAGCCGTTAAAGCCACCAGCGTCATTCACAGGGTAACAGAGGTCATTCACACTATGCTAAAATATGACTTGTTTTATGGACTGCAACCCTGAGTATAAGATTAGAAACTGCACATGTAACTGAATCATTTCTATAGTGACATTTTCTAACAACAAAACACAGCACAAGAAAGAGCTTGTAAGAGTAAATAGGTGTATTCATAAGTAATGGGTCTATACAAATAAACAGAAAGAGAACAAAGACTATGAAATCGCAATATCTGAGAACGATTGAAGGTACAGAGCCACTGAAGTAATTGTGAGCCAAAAGATGGCAAACTATGTGTGTCAGCATGCAGTCTCAGGAGTAAGTACAAAATAATCGCAGGATAAATAGCATCAGGCGGCAAAAAAAAGTGTGCTGAAGTACACAAGGGCATACTAATTTAAAACCTAAATGACAGATTTGAATAGGGACTACTGTGTTTATACACTAAACCAAACTTCTGTTTACATGTTCTGTGGGTGCAGTACGTTAGAGAGAACAGTGTGGCCCTTTCCTCTGACAAGCCCCTGTGTGTCACAGCTTCAGCAGAGAGCCGAGGGGAGCTGCCAGTGAAGAATAATTAAGACCTCTGTGGAAGTGACAGGGTCACTAGGAGGTATGCAGCATAGCAAAGCTCCTCTTCTCAGCTGCTTCCTCTGTGAGCTGTCACGGCCGCTGCGTATTTATAGCAGCATGGCGCAGCACTCTCCCTCTCCTCTCCACTCTACCTCCCAGACAGATGTCACCTTCAAGCCACCATCTCTGGGGCTAAACACAATGCTTTCAGCAGCCTAACAAGCCGCACACACAGGCAATCAACAGAACAACAGGAGTCTGAGGACAACATCAACGTTGCCTCATTCATGCTGACTTTACCAGGCGGGCAGGCAGCAGTCTGCCTCTCCCATCGGACCGGGGCTTCTTTACATAACAGCATAAGCCAGAGCTAGTCAGTTACTGTTAGTCTGCAGCATGAGGGCCCGAGGCTGGTGACACAATAACACATTCAGTCTGCCACTCCAGAACAATACTTCAGCCAGCACACAACCCCAAAAACTTATTCTTAATAATTTAATTCCATGCTGATGCTTTTGGGTACAAGAATGAGACTTTTAATTTGATTCCATCAATAAATAATATCTTTCAGTGCTTTCTAATCTTTGTGCATTGTAAACAAGGCAAACATGTCCTCACGGCAAACAATAGAAAGATTTCCAAACTCATTTAAATTTCAACACAAAAATATATTTAGAGAATAAACACGGGAAACAGTGGAATATTTTATGTGTGTTTGTGTGTGTGTGTGTGTGTGTGTGCACGCAGTGTAGCTGACTTTATGTCTGTGCCTCAGATAAGAGACGAATGGGGGGCCTCTGTAATGTAAGCCTGGCTGACTGAATGTGTTGACATAGCTTTAATTCAGCTTGATACCAGACACCAGTAGTCTGTCTGAGCCTCTGAGCACAAGGGGTGTTAACCTCTCAGAGATTCTCAAAATACACAAACACCAAGCACGACTGGTCAGGAGGGATTAAAATAACTTTTCTGAGTGCCTTGCTCATATGCTGTCGTTTCCACACTTGGTCAGCAATATAACTTATTCAAACATGGCAAAGCACCAGTTTAATGATGACTAAACCGTTTGGTTAATGATCTATTAGACATGTATTTCTTAGATATGATTAGAATCACATTTAGCCTGGCACAATCTCTCTGCTCTGTGTATCCAGAAAGCAATAAAGTTCAATTACAGAGTACAAACACATAAACATCTTGTAAGGGTAACAGATGCAATTTATGACCGTGGCTATGATTTGATCCTTTAACCTTAAACAGATTGCTAATGTGTCAGACTATCTGCCCAGTAGTGTGTTCTCAAGGCTAGGGTAACACAGCCTGAGCCTCCAGATGAAGTGCTGGTTACTCAATATGAGCATGTCTTGCAGGTCATAAGCCTGTCACTGCCAAAGTGGGTTTCTTTTACTGCCACAGTGGCGATAATCAGCTGATGCTGGCTGTCAGTCGACGTGGCTATGGGACAGACAGGGGACAGACTCAGAGGACACACGATCGCCCTGCTGACAAGTATCCCTAACCCCAGCTGCTCCGGCGGCTCCTCTGTCATGTGGCAGGAGCAGGGGGGGAAGACAGGCTGAGGGGGAGGTGGCAACAGGGCCCTGCTGAGAAGGGGAGAAGGAGAGACTCTTATGAGAGCACAAATTTCAGCACCCCTACATTGCTGTGCACTCCACCCCTCTCAGAGGCAATTCCCCTTTCCCTTCCCAGCTGTAGTGCTTCACTAAAGCCCCAAGAGAGCAGAGCACCGGTTGGACGACAGGCCTCAGTAACCACAGGCCCCGGGATAAGCCAACAATCAGGTGCTACATTGTTTAAGAGCGTTAGCTCAGATTAGACTGCCATTGTGAAATGTCACAATATCTTTCTATATGTGTGTCTGCCTTTCATATATGTGTGTATATATAAACACAGTATGTATATATAGCGGTGGAAAAGTACATTTACTCATATAATACAATAAGCTTTTATTAACTAGAAAAACCTCACAGACATCTTTTTTAAAAGTGTCATGGACAAGATAGGCAGCAATAACGATGAGGAACAGACAAGCATAAGGCAGATAACCCAAGATATGTCAAATTAGAATTAAAAGGAAATTTAGAACCTTACATTTCAACAGATTTCATCCCAGACACAACCTAAATGGCACGTTAAAACAACCAAAGAGCTGTCCAAAACCATGAAAAGAAATGCAGCATTTATGCAGAAACACTAATATAAAGCAATAACTTAATTTTATGGTACTTTATATTCTACTTTTGAATCCACTCTATTTATTTTACAGCAAGTTACTAACGACTGATTTTGTTGAGGCTGATAAGAATATTGATATTTCAGAGTAAATATAATGTATCAACAATTATTTGTTGATATATATATATTTAATACTAGTCCTTTATGTTTGTTTACCAAAGACCTTGCCAGTGCTCTCTGATGGACAAACTATCAATGATAACACTGATTCTGAATAACTGCTCCGGCATTTACGTACAGTTTGTTGTTACTTACTTGTCAACATTTGTGCCAATGCTAATAAATCTGTGATAACCTAATTGTCTGATGACATCAACCAACAAATGTACAGTATGTGCTGGGTTCCAATATTAACTTATTCATATATTAAGTTATATATAACTACCTGTAAGTATATAAAGCAGTTAAACTGCACCTGAACCAATTCTAAAATTAAAATCCTTATTGCATTACTAATGAAAGAGAATACATATATTATAGTATAACACCGAAAGGGACTGTAATGCACATTTTAAAGTGTATTCTGCTGATATTACTTTTGCTTTAATGAAATTTTGCATATATATTTATAAAGGAAAGAAACAAGCATCTCCCAATCTGTGCACTCAGGTGGCAGTTTTCATTTGGATTCAGCAAAATGAGAATGTGTTGGATAATGTTCCCAGCTGTAAATAACCCTGCTGCATCTACGATTTAAATTTAGAATTGTGTCCTACTGCTTTGAAAGCTATGCATTGCCTTGAAAAGTTCAGCCCCATTAATTAGTGTAAACTTAACTGTGGCCCCTTATAGACGTGGTGTACTCGCTGTGCGCCGACATGCTCAAATGATCCTACATCAACACACATGCGGCAGGGTTCATCTGGAGACCCACAGAGCATGAAGAGCTGAGGCTGTGAAAGCATGCTATCCCTTGGGTGGGTGGCACGGTGGGGGGCGCTGGGGTGGTTTGAGCCTTTCTGTTTGATTGGCAGGTAAATGGCTCAACCAGAGTCTTCTTTCCAAGAAATGTGCTTGTGTCTGTCAGAGCAAAGAGCAGCTGGCAGGAGTAAAGACAGAAGATCAAGTCAGCTTTGAGTGTTAGAATAAGATCCTCACAGCTCTCTCTGCCATTTAACAGCACACCAGACTGTCTCACTTTAGACGCTCATTAGCAAACCAAGGACTTGTTATTGCAGTGCAGAGGGAATGCCTGCTCATGAACAAAACAAGCTTTATTCACTACAACCTAATGCTGTGATTACACTGATAGATCTGCTGCTTAAAAGGAGCCTCTTATTGACACACAATGTGGCATGAAACACATTTCATAAACACAAGTAATTACAACCTTGATTTCTCAACTCTTAACATCAACTATCATTCACATAGCGAGGGACTGAAATGTTATTCTGATGGCTCCTTGTGCAAATTCAATGCCAATGTTCTGCTGAGCTGCAGAAAGACACACACACACTCACACATTCCCCCAGTCCCCGCCAATTGCAAGTGTTGAGGTGTTGAGTGTTGATGTATGCATATCCTCTCACATACAGCAGTTAAATTACCAGTGAAGAGGCCTGAAGAGCACTGCTCTCAGGCTCTCGCTGGCTCACTCCCCCATCAGGATGAATTAACACTCACGCCACCTATGATTAAAAAAAAAAATCATTTAAGGAAGGTTTAGTGTCATTTCTTCATAATGAATTTGAAAAGGGCACTCTCCATATTAACACCTCTGTATTACCACCTACAGTATCATTCCCATCTTACCAAGAAAGAGAGGTAACTTAAGTGCATTCTGTGGCCCGTGACCATGATCTGCCTGTTTATGGACATACAGCACCGACACACGAGTCAAAATATCCCATTACTAATGACGATTGAAGAGAATTTGTCACAGTGATGAATACGTAAATTCAATGCATTAAAAAGGTCCAGAAACCCTGCAGCGTCTTGGTCAGATGATTGTTGGCTGCAGTGCCACCCAACCCCTGAATAAACCCTTTTATCTTCAAATCCCCAAACTTTCCTTTAACCCTAATCTATCACCTCAGTTATCCTGCATGATTAATCGGGGGCCTTAAATAACCAAGGCAGGCTTGATTAATCGAAAGGGGTGAGGTGTTGAGATCAGGCCCTACAGTGAATGTGCAGAGCCAGCACACGCCTCGTACTTCTGTGGCCACTGCCATCTGTCTCCCAGTGGGAGTTGTTCCTCCACAGCGCCCCTCGCGACTATGCTGCTACATTACTAACACATTTCTGACACATATAACACAGATGTCCTTCTGCTACAGGAAGCCCTGCATCCTAAAGACATAGCAGACTGTTTGAAGCAGCAATCTGAAAGCTAAAATAACAACATAATGCTTCTCAGGCAGTTCATTTTCTTGAATCATTAAATATATTTTTCAGGATTGCAACATTCTTACTTCATAATGTGTTGTAACCTAAAGGAAAAGTACATGATATATATAACATTACCTGCACGTCAGCCAGCACGTCATCTGTCCTTCCCAGTGAGAGCTGAGAAAGTGGCAGAGAGGTCTGCTAATGGTTCCTCTTGGGCAACAGCCCTGGTGGCAGACAGACAGGGCAGACAGGTGGCACACATTTGGCTGTGGTAAATCTCTGCTCTGCTGGCAGAGAGCACGCTTCTCTCCAAGCTGCAGTAAATGTGGGCTAATACTGTACGCCTTTCACTCTGAAGGTGAGACGGGAAATAGCTCCCTGGAGGTGCTGAGAGGAGTTTGTTCTGAAAGGGAGTCACGTCTATGGTGTGTGTCTGTCTGAGTCTATGACTATGTGTCGATGTATATTTGTATACTGTTTCAGGGACAATGCAAATCCCAATGAGTTCAGCAGTGATAGAGGCAGACCCAGGCTGATATTTGTTGATGATGCTTACGATGAGTGTGAATGCTGGGTCTGTTGTGCGTTACTCCGCTAAGTAGCTTAAGTAGCTAACACCTGTTGTTGTGCTCAACGGTCATGACTCTGGGTTTTTTTTATTTTTGGGGGGGGAGCTTTTCTCTGTTTACTGTATGTGGTCAAGGACTTTGAGAGACTGGGATCCTGGAAGAAGCATTTTAAACTCACATTAACCAAGAAATCAAACATTTATCAGATTGAAATATCATTTATTTACCAACTCTGATCAATTTGCCAATATAAATTCAGTAAGAGTATAACTCTGTAGGTATTGCAACACAATGTCTTATGTTGCTCATGATTGTCAACTATATTGCAAGGTAAAAATCAAAAACACATTTGTATACTGAATGGAGCCCGCGGGTGCCTTGGCCTTGTTAGTTATCTCAGGACACTTAAGATAAACCTATAATTAATGTGACTGTCTCTGTAAAATTTATAATCACCTTTGGAAATCCCAGTTCACAGAATTATGACCCTTGTTCGTCAAGTATCTGATATTTTTTCTACATTTAAAGGTCAGGTGAACCATAAAATCTAAGATATGGACATTTAATCACTGTACTCACACCGTTTTGGCTTCAATGCTGCATCCATATCTTGTATCTATAACAGGCTAACCAGAGTGGACAGCAAGGGGACAGGGCCTATGTCTCTGGTGTACTTACATGAGCCAGGAAACATAAACAGGAAACAAATCCCAATTTAATTAATTTCACAGACGAAACAACTAAGTATAGCTGATCAGGTCTACAATGAAATTCATGTAATAATTATGGCTTGTTTCACACTAGACTTAAACCTCTCTGTATTATTGTAGTGCTACATTTTCCACCCATCTGATAATGACACCGCATACTGGCCTAATGATATCATAAACACTGCAGTTTAATGTAGCTATTAATACGCATAGAGCTTTTTCAGCCCGTCTTATTAATTACACATTAATGAAATCTGACAGAGATGCTCCCGGGCTGGGCAGCAGCACATTATTAACATTGCCTTTCACAGTTCAAGATAGTAAACACGAGCTAATATAATGTAGTAAAACATTCCCCTCTCTCTCCCCAGTTGCCATTTTGTCTTTTCTGCATGACTAGGCATGTAAGGTAGGCTGACGCAGAGGTATTTTTTTGTCTTCCTCACAGGCTAGGACAAGGTCAGTTACGTTTTCTGTCTAATTTTATGTCCCTCCTAATGCCAACTACAAGATGAGCTTCAGTAGATACATAACTTGAGGCTCATACCACAGAGAACAGCTCAATTACTTTCAGAAAAGCAGATATGAACTGTTAATTTATTACAAGTCATACAGAAGTGATTATGATACTATTTTCATTCGCATACTGTTGACGCAAAGGTATAGATATATTACAGAGTCCCTCATCTGTAATTTTAATTATGATACAAACAGAACAAGAACGGTGCTAATAACCTCCCACTTGTGATAGCAACAAAAAGTCTATATCAGGAAATGATAACACAATTATAATGTTATGCTCTTTCTTGCTTAGAAATAATAACTTATAAATACTCCCACTGCTATTATCTTATCATTACACTGATAAAAAGTGCTGCAGCTTAACACAGTTTTTTTGGTCAGTGTCTTATTTTCCACTGCAGGGGAGGGGTGGAAGTGAGAGGAACATTCTGTTAATTGGACATCGAGTGAGGCTAACAATAAGCTATGCATGGTGAGATTTGCCTCGGAGAGCTGGGGTAAGGATTTGGAAGAAGAGGAGTTATAATTGGCCGTAAGATGAGGAGCTCAAGCCAGCTGTACACGTTCAAACTGTGACATTGGACTCTTATTCCCCTCTTCTCCGTGAAAATGAGCTCAAGATTCTGAGCCTCAGGAGACATAATACATGTCACAGCCTACAATAATGGTTAATTTGAAATCATGTAGCACCCCTCTCTCTTGCCGTCTCCCTCGTCTCCCCTTTTCTATTTCACTTCCTCTCTCTCCCTCTCTTTCTCGCTCTCTCCCTGAAATAACCCATTCATCCTAAAAATGGTTTTCATCGTTTTTTTTTTGCCTCCACCCCCAGCCCACCCCCGTACGCCATTAGTCCCATCCCTCCATGCTCTAACGACCAAATGCATTTCCTAGATTTTCTCTATAGCAACCCTTATTATCCTGGAGCTAATGTTTTAAATTCAATTGCAACAATCCATATCCAGGCCAATTTACTGTCTCCTTTTTAAAAGCGGCCCTCCCAACACAAGCTTTAGAGAGCATGTCTGTGGAGCGAAGATAAAAGTGGCTGGCTCACCATATATACAAGCATCCCATCCCAAAACAACGCTACCTTTGTTGGTAATATATTCACACAGAATGTCTTGACAATACACAACCACCTCCTACACATTTATAAAACACTAAAGCAAATGGGCTCAAAACATGAATTCACATCCTGGAGCATATACATTCATAAATGTGCCCCCCCCCCCCTTA